AATTACAGTTAAGAGCGAAGGACATTGTTATCAAGGGCAATTATGCGTGAACAATTATTTATGCGGACAAAAAGTCTGGAACACTTGAACAGACATTTTTCAAAGTATAGTTAAGATCTAATTCTTTTCATTAATCCAATCAAAAATATAATATTTTCACAGCATAAAATATGGAAAAAAATTCGAAATTTTAACGACAATCCAGCAAATTGTAAAAAAAAAAGAATCTCTATAGTCCTTCACGAAACAATCTTTGATGCGAAGTAAGCCTCTTATTTTTATCAATAGATGGTTTGTCCTTGTGGTGCACTTTATTTCTTTTTCGTTGATTACAGTTTACAATGAGTAAATAATGAGATAAATAATCATTCAAATTGTCAAGAAAAATACAAATAGTATGAAACAAAAGCACAATAGTAATATCTTGTCACAGAATGAATAAGAAAGAAAGAAAAACCATGTGATGATGCAGAACGTGTTCTTCTCACACGCATATGTTGTTGATTTGGAAATGTTTTTTTTGATAGCTATCGAACTGCTTCTTAAATTCTAATATACTACCACCTTTATTATAACTCGATTGAACGATGTATTCTTCGGTACTTCTTCAGATTACACACACCTTCTCACGCAGGGCTGTGTCACCCAATGTGTGTAGAGGGTGTGCATAATCTGAAGAAGAACCTATTTGTCGAGGTTGATGTGAATTGCCAAGATAATGCCAAATAACAGATGGAGTAAATACCAATGTTTCTATCACGTATAAAAATATATTTGTTTTTCAATTGTTTCTTTTTCTTATGCCAACATATACGTAATGGAGTTAATTGTATTTTTTTACGTATTAATTTGTTTTATTCGATATTTATTTCAAAATGATCCATTTTTTGTATTGTTGATAAAAGGTATGATGGAAAAAGAAAGAAAAGAAAAATGTCTAAAAAAAAAATGCAACAAAGAAAAATATCGACCGAAAAAAAGAACGCTCATTTTCATAATAATGATGTAGAACACTGAAAGCAAATTATTAAGTAGAGAAAAAAGATCAGTAAAATGCATAACATATATATAGACCAAATGTCACTAAATATAAGATGATTATAATTCATGTTTTTTTTTATGCAATATTTTTAGGAACAACCTAAGAGAACCTATCAAAGCGTTCATAAGCATCCATATCGTCATTTTCATAACGTGAGTATAAAGTATTAAGTCTATGCTGTATAGTATTTGTTTTAATCTTTTTTTGATCGAACTCAAAGACTACCTTTCATTTGAATCATTAAGTAGTTAAACCTATTTTCTTCTCCTTGAGTATATTTAATAAAAATTCATATGTTTGGATGAGATTTTGATAATCTTGAGTTTAGACAATTATGAAATCCTAGAATTATATACGAATAACGAAAATATTTTAATATATTGAACAATACGTCAGCATTATTATTCCTTCTTATTTCTAGTGATCTATATACATTCCAGTTTTGTTGTTTTATATCAACTGTTTTGATTCACTGATTCTCAAAGTAGTGATATGAAGTTTTTAATGAATTATTCTTTTCTAATGGTGTCTGAAGAATCTATTCAAACAGATCATTAAAAGCTTGTAAGACCAAAGACAAGACCATTAACGCAAGAGTCATGAGTTTTCTGCAAATAAACCGAGTCCTTGGATATGACTATAAACAGCCTGTGTAAAATGAAAGTAACATTCTATATACTTACAGTTAAGAAACTAAATGAAGCAAGATATTGCAATACATTTGTTGAAATTGAAAAAAATAATACGTGCCTCACTAATGAGAACCTCTGATAGATCATGTTAGAAATCTGATATAACAGTCACAGGATTGAAATTCGTATTCATTTCAGCTACAATATGTTGAAATTCATGAAAAAAATTTAAAAGTTGATTTTTTTTGTCAGGAAGAAAACGAAATCCACGTGTAAAGCCTAGAAAACATCAGATTACTCAAGTTTTTTTTCTGACAAAATAAAATTATATTTACACTGCTGGTATTGTATAATATCTAAACTATAAATTTGTTCGAATATCGATGTTGAAGCAATGAAATCGCTATCGATTAAGATAATCGAACATTGAAATAACAACTTTAGTTATTTGCGTGGTGAAAATAATAAGATACATGTTTTTCTTTATAATTTTATCATCACAAAAATGGCTCAGTTCTCAATGTTTGTGTGTAAGTTTCAAGCATATGAAAAAAAATTAAGAATCAAGAATAACAGATGTTTGAAGACATTTTACTTCATTCAATAAATTACCTTAAAAAAATTTCTTCAGTCAAGAAAAAATAAATGTTGAATTACCGATCTCTCTCTCTCTCTGATGGAAAAATAGCAGTTCCGAATGATGTTAAACAGAGTCTTGATGAACCTTTGTCATATATTCTCGGTATCAGAGTAGTTTTTTGTTCTGCCAATTCTTGGTCTTCTTGACCTTAGTTTAACATTTATTGAATCAGATTGTTTATATAGATATAGCCAACGATCAATAGTACTTCGATGAACCGTATTTGCCAATAATTTTGCTGTTTCTGTAGTTTTTCCAATTTTCGTAACGTGAAATAGCTACGTCTCGTGTATCGTGACTGTCAACTATCTCAAAATCAACGAAAAAAATCAATTAAGAAACTAACACCCTATCATACAGACAGAGGACAGCATGCAGCGTACAGTAAAAGCATATAAAATTAACCGATTATGTAAACAAACGAATGACTATGAGAGACTTTTCAAAATGTTGCAAAGTTTTTGTCTCACCCAGCATTCATTTCTACTTGTGATATATTTATTTAATGAATAAAAAGGAAGTGGTATATTTGAATAAACAGACTCTATCTAGAAAGTTATTTTGTTTATACTAGACGTCAATGAGGAGGAGGGGGGTTCAGAAAATGAGATAATTACCTGTGTCTCTTTTATGAATAGCTCCCTTTGTAAAAACAACCTCTTATACCTTTATATCTATATGAGTTTTGATTTTTTCCTAATTCTATACGTTTACATGTTGATTTCAAATAAGATAATGATTAGTCTCATGATCATATTCATCAACATTTGACGAAAGTTTATCTCCAATTCCTAAAATTTTACGACATATCAACAGAGAAAAATCCCTTTCGTGAGTCAGTTCAAATAGGGTATCATTTAAATTGATGAATATCAAATAGTCATATTTATTTCTTAAGGTCTGGTGAACACAGTCAATAATCAGTATGATGAGCATTAGCATTTTTACCAACAGGAAGATGAAACGAATACAAAGATAAAATAATTTCAAATAGTTCAATGTTTGTTTCGGTGTTTATTAAAACATATGATGCATATTTTTTAAGAGTTTCTTCATCATATTAATTATGTTGCGTGTCTGACAGGGCGAAACCGAATCCAAGGAAAAATTGCTTTACTCGAGTCGAATCGAATCAGATTCAGATTTGGCGCTTTTGGCTTTTTTTTCTTTCGATTCACATAATAATGTTACATGATACTGATGATAGTTGACTCAAATAAACACACATATACAAAAGAAAACAACACCAATTTAGAAGTTGTAATTAACTTCCTCTAATGGTTGTAAACATATATGTTGATTTTGAATGTGTAATCAAATGACGCAGACGTATACTATAATCTAATTATTCTGTGATAAGTTAAATACTTTTTTTTGATAAATGTTTATTGACAACTGTACAAATAATCTATTGTTATGATAAATTTCATAATAGAAATAAATTTTCATTCTTAACGATAGATATGTATCTGCAAAACAAAGTATGTATCTGTTAATATCGATATTGCTTAGATATGTGTACTCATTTACCCTTTGTCAACTGTTTTAGTTATTGCTTTTGAATGAAGGATTTTTACTAAAACAAGCTTCTATGATTTTATTGTAAAGTGTTTTGGCTAATTGTTCGTAGCAATTGATTCTCGTTCGTTCAATTTTGCAACATGCACTCATCTTGTTAAATTCTGACTGTTCAAGAATCAAGTATAGCCTTATTCTGAAGTCTATTGGTTTCGAAATTTTATAAGTAATTTTATTCTATGAAATCTGTTACCTATCATATTTCTTGTATTACAAAACTAAATGATCCTACAATCTATATGAAAATACCACGCATAAAAAAGGTGATGAGAATATAAACGAATAAATAACTTACGCAGAAAGGAATAGCAGAATATAAAAAGCAAATAAGATGCACAAAAACAAATTACATTACTTTTACTCTTAGTGTGAGTCAAATAGAATGGAACTGAGGTTTTGAAAAAGTAGGTCGAATCGAATCCGAATGAAGGTTTTCTCATTCATTTCGCTCTCTAGTGTCTGATAGACATTTTTTTCAATTTCATTTTATTGCTCCAATATTTTCAGGTAAGATATCCAGTACTATTTGATATTCATTAGTTTAAATGAGATTCTATTTGAACTGCCTCACGAGGAGGAATTTTTCTCTGCTGATATGCTGTAAAATTTTAGGAATTTTCTAAATTCGACACTGAAATTTACTCTAACGCTTACTATTCAGTATTGCTGAATGTCATTTTCGACCAGCTTTAATTTCGTACAAAATTTATTAATAATGTTATTTGAAATCATATTCTAATTCCTCTGAAAAAAATATTTTTACGCACTCTCTACATATTCGAATCTTTATAATCATAGAAAACATTTATGAATTTCATTTCTATTTATTTCATTGAAGTATCTCAAACAAGAAGTATAAATAGAAAAATGAAATATAATCATAAAATTTATCCCAATTCTATTGAGTTGTATATCAATCATTTGTTCATACACAAAGAAAACTTATTCAATACAGAAATAGTCATATTAAATCAAGATCTATTTCTTTTTGTATCATTGATACATCATATATTTTCAATACCAAGAAAAAAACCCAATTGTACACTGACAACCTATAAAAACATACAAACAAGACAAAAAAGAAAATTTCCACATTAGAATTCGTTGTCTAAATATCTGTTGCTGTTGGTGATGATATTATTGTATCTACAATTGGAATATCCATCTTAGTTGATGTTGTTGGTGGTTTTTTAAATACAAATGTATTTGAATGTAATTGAGGTTTTTGAAATAATGAAAGAAGATCAATTGGTAATGGAAAAACAATCGTTGAATTTTGTTCTGTTGCAATACCATTTAATGTTTGTAAATAACGTAATTGCAAAGCATATGGTGATTGTGAAAGAATATCTGCTGCTTCTTTTAATGCACGTGATGCTTTAAATTCACCTTCACTAGCAATAATCTAGAAAGAAAAGAAGAAAAAAACAAAACTTCTATACTAAATAACATAATGTTTATTAATTACTTTTGCTCTTGCTTCTCGTGCTGCTTCAGCTTCAGCGGCCATAATACGTTGTAACATATGTGGTAAACGTACATCTTTGATTTCAACACGTTCAACTTTAATACCCCAATTATCTGTTGCTTCATCTAAACATTCACGCATAGAATTTGAAACAGCACCACGATCAGATAATAATTCTGATAGAAGACGTGTACCAAGAACATTTCTTAATGATGTTTGTGCTAATAGACGTGTTGATTCTTGTGCATGTTCAACATTAGCAACTGATATGGTTGGATTAAAAACCCGATAATAAACAACAGCATCTACAGCAACTGTAACACTATCACGTGTTAAAACTTCTTGTGGTGGAACATCAAATGATACTGTACGCATATCAACAAGATGCATTGTATCAATGCATGGTAAAGTAAAACACATACCAGGACCACGTACTGAATTACTACTCAAACGACCTAAACGAAATATAACAGCACGTTCATATTCTTGTACAATTTTTAATGTAAGAAAAAGTGAAAATGGAAAAAAAAGTATCAGAAGACACCATGAACATATAATTAATGCTGTTTCACATAATGAACGTTTGTTGTCAAGAATTTCATCACCAATTACATATGGAATATTATATTTAGCCCATAAATGACGTAAATTTGGTTGTGTTTGTTTTAATAATACATCATCACGACGACGATTATCATCAAATATAGCAGCTATGGATGATTTTCGACCTAAACGTGTTGGTGCCGAAAATGTTGGCAGTATTGATCTTGAATATGATTGTTGTTCATCATTATCATTGAAAGTAGGTATACCATTTGCCGAATCTTGTCGAGAACGACTCATGGGAAAAGACACTGAAACATTAATAAAAATATTCAGAAATAATTCCTATGAGCAAAAACAAAAAAAAGAAATACTTCTTGCAGACCTTGAACCGGTCTAACAAGGGAAGTATTCCAAGTGATTAGTCGCTTTTGAGTCGGAGCCAGAGATGTGTGCGACTACGAAGAAAAAAATAATTGCCGGTACCGGATCCGGAACTCAAGTTTATAGTAAAATATTCTATAGTTTTAAGCAAATTATCTCGTGAATCATATGAATTAAAATACAATTCAAGACAGGTGACCCAAAAAAGTGCTAGCTGTCGACTAAATAAATAAAAAAACGAGTATCGAAGAGTTTTTTTTTTAGATGTGATACAAATAAGTTCTGGCAGAGTTTTCTCTAGACTAGGATCGGGACTAAAAATCTTGGTTTCGCACGTCTCTAGCCGAGACTATGCGTGTCATGTAGATTTTAATGAACTATGCATATCATGAAAAGAGTTCGAACTCTTAGTTTACTACTGTTGACATACAACATTCGTGAGATATTGTTTTAAATCAAAGCTGTATTACCCATGAACACGAGAAAAACTGGTTTTTGAATTTCGATTTGAAAATTTACGCAAATATGGAATTTAATGAGAATAGTTTTTGTTCAGAGTGTCAGATCTTTTCGCTGTTCTTTTCCTAAGATACAGCTATGAAAAAAGTGTCTTTCACATTATTTATATATATATATATTAATAGATTTGATGTTCTTAATCTAGGATAAGAGTACATAAAAAAATCTCAAACTTTCACAATAGGGAATGTTCTCACTAAGGTTCGTCTCTTTACAAAGTTTCAAGTAAAAACTTAAAAATCAGTTTTTTCGTGTTTCGTTGTGAATCTACAGCTTTAATTTAAAAAATACTATAAATGTGTAATATTTCCCTAGCAATAACCTAAGGGCCGGAACTCTTTTCAGGATATTCATAATTTATTAGAATCTACATGATTTACATAATATTGATTCAAAAGCCATTAATCACTTAGGGGACTTCCCTCATAAGACAAGCAAATTGGTTCTACTCGCATTTTGGTTAACGCACAAAATAAAATAACATTACATAAATGGAAAAATAAATAAGTAAAACCGAAAAAAAAAATACTTAGTTTATATGCTGAGTGGATTATTGAGGGAATGTATAACAGATATCTTTTCACAGGTAACAAAGATATCTTATGATAATAGAAGAAAATGACGCAACATTTTTAGAAGTTTTAATAACACTATTTTGTTGTAATCTGCATTTTCTTACCAAAATATCCTGTCATAATGTTAAATAACTTGAAAAAAGATTACAAAATCTAACAATATCAATTATTTTCAAGAAACGAAATGCAACTCATCGAACTGTTTAATTGAATCATTTTTTTATTTTTAAATATTCTGTACACTTCATTGAATTACAATTAGTACTAAATAACTACAAATTTTCAAATCGATACCTTTTACTATCAATGAGAAACTGTAACAATTCTATTATGCACTACTTTATCAGTCTTTCCAAATATTCTAACTGATATTTTTAAATCAAAATAAATTTTTCAAAATAAAATAAAATACATATCACTTTATCAATGTTCATATATTTGATTATTCTCTTAATCTATTACTAATTTTAATTATTCTTTGACATAAAATAAAAACTAATTTTTGTCAATTGTTCATTGGTATTCTATTTCCATCTTTGTAATTTCTCTTTGAATACACTCAAGATGTATTTTAAACACTTAACATTGACTAATTTTACAACAAAATTTTCTCGCTCGATTCAATTGAAAAAATATGTCTAATCGATTTAAAATGATGTATATCCTTTCATTGAGAATTTTGATCACTTTTGAAAAATTACACTAATTAAATCATCTACTTTGTTTTTAGCTACTGCTGAATTCATATTTCTTCTATTGAAGCATATATATTAATAAAAATATGTGTGTGAAGGATACTTTTTTGTTTTGGCATGTATCACATAGAGAGTCGCTGCAATAAATACTTATTTCAACATTTTTGTATCGCATTTTATCAGCTCAAATAATTGGAAAATCGATAAACTATAGCATGAAAGTGTTATTGCAGTTTTTCATTGATAATAAAAGCTATCGATGTGAAACTAACTTTCTCGCTAATTAATAAAAGTAAATACAAGTACGAACGAGTTTTAAAGATTGTATCATAACTTTTAGAACGCTCCTTATACAAGGTGTCCCAAAGATCTTTTTCTAAAATTTTTCTAGTATATCTTTATTATTCGATTCAGTTTTATGAACTATGTTTCTTTTTTTTGAAATAATCGGATGGATACATCGAGTTTTTATCTATACGAGCAAACTTTAAAAGTAAATTCCAAAGTTTTCATTTCTAATCAAAATGCAAAAATTTAGTCGTTTTTTTCATATATCGAAAAATATTAATCAACGATTCGTTTATAATTACTCTGATTTCTTGAATCATTCTGAGTCGTTTTATAGACATTTGTTTTCATGTATCTTCATAAAAATATATCCAACGGTATTAAGTCTAGTGACTATAAAATTCATTAGATTGGTCCATTTCTTCTAAACCACTGGTCGTAAAATTGATCGCTCAGATACTAGCATATCATCTAGGCGCAATATACTACTACGATATATGACTATAAATCACTTTTTTACGAATTCTTTTCTTTTTCTTTAAAATCAGATAAAAGAAGTTTTGGAGTATGTCAAGGTATGTTGTCAACCAATCGTTGGATCATTAGAAACAAAAATGATCCAACAATGAGTTTGCTTAAGATTAAACACCACAGAATAAGTCTTGGTGAGTGCATTGTAGCTTCGAAGCAACACACGGATCATTTTGAGTGTCAAATACGACAATTGTGTTTATTAACCAATGCAAATGGTAAGCATATGAATGACATCCAAGAAAATGAAGCAATCAAAAAAATAATCGTTGCAATATATGTCGTTTTACATATAGAGAAAGAGTTAAACTTTTTCTATTTCACGTAAAGGTGATGGTTCTGAAGGATGCTTCTGAAGTTTGCTCAATGTATCTATCTGATCATTTGAAAAAGAAATAGTTCATAAAATTGAATCGAATAGAAAAGATATACAAAGAAACTTTTAGAAATGAACTTCTGGGATACTGTATAATGAGCTTGACATTGAAGAATTGAACATTATACTTATTTTACAAGTTAAATGAGTTGAAAAAATATTCGATATTATTATAGTTAAATGCATTTCTTTTAAGACCATGTTCTATATGTTCTATTGAATAAATCCGGTAATTTCTAGCATATGAATCATGATCAACATCATTAATTATTATCTCATTTTTATAAACAGCTTATCAATGTAAAATGATACATTAAATATTTTCAGAGTACTTATCAAGAAAATGTAATAATCATTTTAATGATGATTACAATTCTTAAAAATCTACAATATATCATTTCATTATTCTATTGTCGAATAAATTCTATACAATTTAATACAAGAGAAAAAAAAACATACGAAGAAAAGTCTTTGACAAAAAAGAAGAAGAACGATTCTATAATATATTGAAAACTCACCTGTATGGCTAATATGACACGACTAGTGTTATAATATATGACAGTATGTTTCTATGAAACAATTATTGTTTTTATACTGTTAGTTGAAGCACGAGCAGATGTACTTTATCTGATTATGATCATGATTGATTGATACATGCATCGTTCGTTCCTTTCTCTTATTACGTCTTTCTTCCTATCTATCTCTTTCTCTCATCAATGAAAGAAGAGCACGGTCAATTAGAGTTAGCAACATCATGTTGTCGGATCTTCTGTATTCTTCGTTTTCTTTCTTTTTTTGTTGCTACAATAACGTGAACATAAGGAAAATAGCGAAGAAAAAAATATTTACATAAAGAAAGGAAATGAACGACAATTCTAATAAATGAAAGGAAAATATAAGTTATGGTCTACAAAAGTTCCATTAGGATGAGCATTTTTTTTTCTAATATGCAATGATTAAAATTAATCGATGATTGAAAACAAGGATAATAATAAGCATAAAAATAAATTCAAGATATCTAGTTAACAATAAGATGTATCGTTAAAACATAGGAATAATTAGATAATTGTTTACATGCACAGATGCATATGTTTTCATCACAATGATTAGACAAAATAATGCACAATAAAAATATTGACTAGACTGGGTAATGAAGCAGATAATTCTCATGCTTCATTTCTTTGACTAAAGTAGTAAATTTATACGAAAAGTATGATTGTGATATATCATTTTTTTTTTTTGACAAATGGAAGTTCATGTTACCATGATCTCATGTTTACTTGTTTATATTGTCTCAAATTGTTTATATTATAGAAATTTGTTAGTTTATTTAAGATCAATATAGCAATAAGTTTCTTCCAACATTAAGCATTAATCAAAAATATGTTTTTTGAATAGATTTAATATTTTGTGGATTCTAATTGCTTTCAAATTCTACTAAATCAAAAGAAATTTAATACTTTAAAGATACAGTAATCAATGTATGCATTTATTTACTTTAATCTTATTACGTTATTAAAAATGACAACTGAACTATTTAATGGAAAGAAAAAGGAAGAATACCTTTGTCTTTTAGCTACCTAGTGGAATCGGGTACTACTAGCGGTAGATTCAATAGGTCGATATCTTTCCTACAACTAATATTAGCTGTAGTTCTGAACAGAAGGCCGGCCTAATGAAAACTTCTTGCGCTCAATTGCTTGAGCTCCTCTTCATACACACTGATTATCCATTTACTATCTATGAGAAAAGGTATATGTCACAACGTATTCAGCATACTATTGGATGGATAATACGAGACAAATAATCGTTAGTATTTTGTCTGGCTGGTGGTATTGAGCTATGTACATAGTATCTTATGGATATGTGTCGAACAATGTAGTCACTCAGCCATAGCGACTGTATTCTATGTCTAAGATCATAATGATAACTAGATACTTATTTATACCAATTAGTGATTTACTTGTGATGCATTTAATACTTAAGAGAGAACATATTTAAATGCTTTCTCCGTAGCAACAAGATGAGACCTAATCTATCTTGCAAAGAATTCTTTATTGATTACAAATATCGATATTTTAGCTACAATCGATCAAATCTTTAGAAAATTCGAGGAACATATAATGCAATTCTCTTGTGAGACGAAAATTGTCATGAGAAATCAAATATTTCAAAATGAACTGCAAAATATCATGTTTTGTAAAGATTTATTTTCTGATCATTTTTAAAAGAAAATTTTTTTTTCAATTTAGTTTGAAAAATGACAGAGATTGGATACTAATACTGGAACGTGAATACAAATACGTAAGTTCATTTTTGAGTCGTTTCAATATTTGCATCCTATTTCTGGTATTTTTTTTTTTACAAAAATACTCAGAAAAGAATTCTCTACAACATAAGATATTTTGTCGTCAATTCTGAGATACTTGTTTTTTTATGAAAGTACTCGTCCTGTACTGGAGAATTTCATTATATGTTTCTTGGATTTTTTAAAAGTTCAATTAGGGAGAGGACAATTAAATATATTCCATCATTAGTTAATAACATTTGATTTATTTTTATTTTTCAATTTGAACGAGAGAGATAAATGACATAAACTATTGAATAAATTCGTCTAAAATATTTCTTCTATTCATTTCTACTATAACTTCATTTTATTCTATTTCAATATATATGTTTTTATAGTAAAAATATTCGAGAAACTTACTTGTTTCTTCATATTCATCAGACAATAACATTATTTCATTTTCTTCGAGTATTTAATATCTAAATGAATAACTAACTATATTTCTTTTATCTCGTTTATATGCAAGACACGTTTTATTCTCTTTAATCGATTCAATATCGTAAGATATATATATATATAAATCGTCATATAAGAAAGATTCATTGAATGAAAATGATGTCTCTAAGGATCTAAATAATTAATATACACAAATCGAAAGAATATGAAAAAATTGATATTTTAGATAGACTATAAAAACAATTGTTTCCTATTCAAATATTTAATACATGTAAATTCGACTTGTTCTCTTACTAATAAATTCTGCCAATTATTTCGCATGCATTTGAAATAAATAAATCATGTGTCTAAAAGTTTTATATATCAATGCGTTAAGTAGCAATTTAGAGATTTATTACGAAACAGTATTATTTAGCTTTTAGAAATATTCATTAAGAAAGACATTTTATTCATAGATTATCATCTAGTAGTCTATTAATCATCTTCTTTTAGAGAGAGGAAACTTCTTCGAACAAAATAAAAACCCTGGTTAAATTATAAGTAGAAAAAACTAAATTTCATGAAATAATCATCTACTTTGTCTTTTTGTTATTGAAAAGATATAAATTCGACGGATTTCTCAAAACAAATATATATATATAAGGTGCACTTCAGAAGTTTTTCCGCTGGTACTTTAGACAACTATCTGAATGTTTGCTTTTAGTATTGTTTTTCTAAGTATTGCCGTTCATGAACAATGCACTTGTGCAATTGATTAGACCAAGCTATGGAAGTCGTTTTTGAGATCATCTTGTATGAAATCATTTATGGAATGTTTTAGCACATCTAACATTGTATTGATAACGTTGAATTCTATTCCATGTAGTTGATATTTGAGTTTTGAAGGCAGAAATAAGTAATACGAGTTCAGATCTGGTGAGTCTGAAAACTTGCGCTAGACAGTTATTGACAGGCTAACTTTCGTTTACTAGATCATAATAGCATGAACTTGGTAAAACTGGTTTCCTGAAAAAAAAATGATACATTTCATTTGTTTGAGCTCTTGCTTCGATAAACCTTGATCATTCATGGATTTTTTTTTTAACATATAAGATTTATTGTTCCTTAAAATTAAAAAGTATTATATCAATGATATATACCCCTGAAACAAGAGTCTTCTCATTCTCTTCATATAGAACTCTTTTAGTCTCAAGTAACTACTAATTACAAGAATGACTAAAGCATTTTATTGTAGTATAGTGTATGACTGATGACAATTTGCTTCAATGAAGAATAAATGTATTTCAATACAATTGCGCAACACTACAAATGAACTGGTTGACTGAATGTTTCACGACTAGGTTATCCCTTTTCTTGTATCTGCTAACTGTTTTACTAGTTTCGATCATTTTAAAAACTCTCTTCATTGCCGATTCAAATCTCTTTCAAGAATGCGATATAGGTGATTATACGAATACAGATAAACTAAAACTAGTTAAACATTCAGAAAATATTAAAAAAAAAAACAAACAATCCAACCACGAAATATTCTATCAATCAACTCATTTGTAGTGTTGATCGATTGTATTCAGTGACGTACATTCTTCATTGAAGCAAGTCGTAATCAATCATGAACTACACTAAAATACAGTATTGAAATTATTCTTGTAACCAATATTCACTTGAGACCCAAGCAGATCGATACGAAAATAATCGGGCGAGGAGAGGAAGAATGACTTTTGCTCATGTGTGTATATCAAGTATGGAGTTAAATAAATGTTTAATAAGAACGATGAAAGAAAAAAGAAGATACCCAATACATGATACTCAAGTACACGCATATATATGATTGATTATGATTTACAGCGTTACATTTTTGATGATCGTCATGAACAATGTTTTGTAAGAAAAAAAGAGACAAAAATACGAAGATAAGAGAGTCAAGTTACACATGCATATGTACTGTATAATAGTGAGATAATGAAGAAAAAGAGAAGAATTTTGATCGATCAGATAGAAATGAAACTCCGAAATATTGTGCCTTATCAAAGTGTTATGTCCTTACTTTGTTTCTTTCGTTGGTTAATGATTTTGTTCGAGTTAATATTATAGAATTTTATTAAACATATTAAAATAACTACTATCGGAATTTTAAAAGAAGGCAGGTGGAGAAAAAGCTTCTAACTTTCTAACGAAAAGTCATAGCGATCTGCGGTTTTCAGCAATCGATAGAAGATTATAGGGGACATATTTTTATATAAAAACCAAGATTTAAATAATTGGCGACTGTGGAATCGCTAAACGAGTAGTCTCGTCATTTGGTGAAATGTCAGCAGAACAAGCTGAAAATTTCAGCATATATAGCCCCACTGTAGCCCAATCTTTCCTAAAAATATCATCGATAAATCTTGTAATGACGAGGAATAGCGAGCCAATCATCATCTGGTTTTACATAAGGCTCTCATACACTCAGTATATTAGGAAATGGCCTCAACTTTTGGCTGAATGAATACCATAATCTAGACTTCATATCTATGCAATTATATCATAGTTTGATTATATGAACGAGAAGAGACAATGAAAATATTACTAAGTTCTGCATTTCTCTGTAAAAAGTTGGGAAGATTTCTTTTAAAATACTTGCTGTATGAAAATCATTTGTTCGTCGAACTTTGACAATTTCCGTACATTTCCACGACTAAAGTACGATTCTATTGCATATATATGAAGTCTAGATTATGGTATTTATTCAGCCAAAATTTGAGGCCATTTTCTAATACACTGAGTGAATGAGAGCCTTATGTAAAACCAGATGATGATTGGCTCGCTATTCCTCGTCATTACAAGATTTATCGATGATATTTTTAGAAAAGATTGGACTACAGTGGGGCTATATATGCTGAAATTTTCAGCTTGTTCTGCTGATATTTCACCAAATAACGAGACTACTCTTTCAGCGATTCCACAATTACCAATTATTTAAACCTTGTTTTTTATATAAAAATGTGTCCCCTATAATCTTCTATCGATTGCTGAAAACCGCAGATCGCTATGACTTTTCGTTAGAAAGTTAGAAGCTTTTTTTCCACCTGCCTTCTTTTAAAATTCCGATAGTAGTTTAAGTTGGAAGAGAAGAAAAATATTTCATGATAAAGTGTTCAAGTATGAATAAGGATTTTTTAAAAAAGATGTCGTATTGCCTATTATGAACACTGAAGAAGGTAATAACATCTAATTTATTATGTTGGACTTTTTTTGTTGATCTCATAGAAAATTTGCTATTGATTATTCATAAGTTTGTAACGCTTCAACTTTCGACTATTCGATTATATTCTTATCATTAGTGATAATGTTAAATACAATATAGAAATTAATTCCTTGAAATCTTATCAATCAATAACGATCCAATCGAATATGAAATTACTTTCAATCATCCATGAGTTAACAATGCATTAATCAAGCACAAAACTTTGTAGAACTTTTAAACAGACAAGTATAATTGAAATAACTACTGACGAAATTATGCTCAAAATGTCTTCTATTCATTCATATATTCAATTATTGCCGGCAGAACATTAAAAGTTTCTCCGATTACATCAATTGAAGAATGGATTACATCCTCAATACTGAAAAGTTATCTGTTAAAATTAGTGAAACAAATTGATTTGTATACGATCTGAAGGTGTAAAGTTCTCTCGTGTTTATACTAAATAGCAATAGCTTTCCTTGTAAGTTAAACCAATTTACTAGTTATGTAAATTTTACACATTATCCTAAATATGTCTATGCACTATATTAGAATAGTTGTGTTGAAATTACAGCTTTTACAAGAGATGGGCAGAAAAAAAAAACTTTTGACATGCCCTATTTGTTTCTATTAAATATCTTTTAGTCTTTTTTATTCATTTGAATGCAAAAAAAAAAAAAAAAGAAGTATCGAATAATTTTGAAAATCATTCACAAATAACTTAACAAATAGATCGTCGATCATTATCAATATAAAGTGTGTGTCCACTAATACGAGACATAAGTGCATCAACAAAATCATGTTCTTTTGGCCAACGAATTTTAAATTTTTCACGTAATTCAGATTCATCTACACTATTACTAGTAGCTGTCATAATAATTAACCGATGTGGAATTACAGGATTTTCACCATCACAATAAGCAAATAAAAGACGAAGTCGTTCGAATGCATCATCTGATAAATTATCATCAATATGACGTAATAGAACAGCTCGTATATCACCACCTGCACTTAGTAAAAATTTTAAATTTAAATCTAATTGAAGTTTACCACCACGATGTGATTGAAGATCAATTTCTGTCGATATCTAAAATAGATAATAATTCATTGAAAATATCATTTTAGATAATAGATAAATAAAATTAACCTTTTCTTTATACATATTAGTATTGACTAATCTTAAAATACAACGAGCAAGTTTTGCAGCATATTCTTCATTTGATGATAAAATTAATAAAGTTGATACACTGTCTTCTTCGTTTTCTACTTTCGTAGAAGATTTATCAAGAATTGGTTTTAATGATGCACGTACTGTATGTTGTTGATTTTTAGAAAGTGTATTATTCGGATCAACTTTTAAACGCCAATTAATATCATTTGAAGATATATTCGAGTCTTCATTTGACAATAGAAATTTTATGATAATAGCTAAGATACCAAAGATAATTAAATATTTCCATTTCGATGAATGTGTTTTCGATGAAGTATTAGTTGAAATAGATTCTGGTTTATCTGTTATTATATATGACACTACCTTTGTATATGACACTGTCTTTTTAGATGAAGTAAATTGTTTATTTTCATCTTCATCTTCACTAAAGTTATCGTTATTTTCATGTAAATTGGCATTTTCTTTCGGAGGAGTCTAAATATACTCAATTTGTTTTTTTTTTATTCTAGATAAAATAATATTTAATAAAATTCTCACCTGTTTTTTCATATTCTTAATATCATCTTGTGATTCTATTTTATCTGAATCCTTTTTACTAGATTTATGTTTGATTTCATCACTTGATGATTGTGAAGAAGTACGTGACTTTCTTCTTGCTTCTAATTTTTCTATTGTAATATTTTCCATACTCATTTTTTTTTCGAAATTAAATCATACAAATAAACTATCCAATGGATGATTCATCGGCTTGCATTGAATTCTATCAAACATTTAATTGGTTGAATATCATCTACCACTCCTATTTCTACTTCTTTGGTAATTTATAGTTTCATTTTTATAATCGAAAGATTCAACAAGATTATTATCAAATAAAATCTGATTTTCTTTAAAAATGATAATTTCAGTAATAAAAAAAAGTAATTTTACATGATAGTAAATCATAGTTATTATGAAAAATTGAACGATCAATGTTATAGTTCATTAATCGAATTTTTGTGATTTAAAAATGACTTATAAAACAAAATTTCTATCAGAAATATTTAGACTGGCAACAAAAAGTAAACGTTGATGATTAGATAAATATATAACTAAAGTATAGATCGAAAATAAATCGAAATTTTCTATATGAAATACATCATTAGTTACTTAGGATTGAATAAAAATTTTGACAAAATTCAATAAAAATACACACAATAAAAAGATATTTTTAATTTAATTTGATTAAATGTTCAAATTAGTCACCATAATTATTTATACAATGTTCTATCGTGTCTAACAATTTCTCAAACGCTTTGTTAAACTCTTCTTTGGAAATATTTGTAACTATCTTGGAAATCAAATGAGCCAATCATTTTTCATTTGTTTGATCAGTTAAACTATCCTTGATATTATCATTTAACTAAAAATCACATGGTGCAACGGCTAGCAAAAATAGTAGATGTGGCATTATATTGATGTCTTTTTCTGTTAAATAATTAATAACATCTGTATGAATATGAGGTCGAGCATTTTTGTCATGAAGTCATTTTATACCATTTGCATCTGATGATTCTGTGTGTTGTCATATTTCATTAACAACAGGCTTGAGGCAATTTCCAATATAATAGTTTTCATATAAAGAATATAGAAAATGAAGTTTTTAGTTCAAATCTATTTCAGTGAATAATTGTCGTTGGTGATTCATCTTCATTCAGTCAGTTTGCATTAGTTGTCATGCGCTCAACATGCCTATGGTATAAATTCATGTTTCATCATCGGTAATAATATGATATAATCGCTATGACTCAATACAAAATTTTATCAAATTTTCACGATGAATTCTAATTGATCTTGTTTTTGTTCATTTTTGAGTTTAGATAATCGGAGATAATTCTTTCTATTGTACCATGACAGAGGGAAGTCTCAGCTATCATATCATCATAAGTTAAATGTGGATTACTGTTTATAACTTGCCATACCAATTCAATATTTACATCTTCTTGTTCTTTATGAAAATGCTGTGTCCACGTTACAACTGTTTGATATGATGGAGTATTAGGTTCCAACAGTGTCATATAGGTTCATTGCGAATAGTCTTTGAATTTATTCCCAAAATAATCCGAATTCTAATATAGTATTGATCGAATTCATTGTTCAATTTTCAGTGTTTTGTTTTTTAGAATTGAATTTTATTTGACAAAATGTTCAAACTAAACCCAAAATAGAGTTATTATATAAACTCTCATAAACAAGGCATTCTACTATTTATTCATGCAACAGATTCTTCAATATTATCTATTAACTAGTTTATAGAATTGCTAACAACATTGTCAGAAATCTTTGTTAGACCTAAGTAGTTAATTTTGATATTAAAGTTATTGTAATCTCATTAGTTTTGAAAATTTTTATACGTCTCATAATATAAACGTGTTAGATATTAGCATCAATCGTCTGTATAAAAAGAAGAAAAAAGATTCAAGCTTTTTATTTGCTTCAATGAGAATTAATATTTGTATAAATAGAAATTTTAATTTATTAGATGCATTCAAGATCGATCCTAATTGTACAGAATAAAAAGTTGAGTCGTTGTTCTTTCTCGAAAAACATTCTAAACAATTATAGACATGTCTGTATATGTAGGGAATATAAATTACTAATACTAAGCAGAAAATATTTTGAGTATTATTTAATTAAAATGTTTAATTCCAAAGAAAACTGTTGCTCGACAAAAGATTCATCTTTTCCATGAGAAGATTGTTTTTTTAAATTAATAAAACTTGAATGATTTTTGCACATTTCAAAGTAAATTTGACCTAACAAGGCTAATATTTATTCATATAATTAGATGTTATCATCAATTAATTGTATTCCGATTTCATTAAGATTACATGAATTTTACAAACAAAAAAATTAAAGCTTTTGGGTTAATATTTTAAAGCATTAATCAGAAGAATGTTATAATTATATCATGATTACTAATGATATTATATGAAGATCAACATCAAAGGTGTACATGGCAAGCATTTTTCGTATGTTCACTCAATTCTACTCTGCAAGGTAGGTTAGGCTTGCATATCTCTAATCAACATGTATACGCTAACATCGAACAACTAAACTCGTAAAATACATTTACTAGCATATCTTATTGTTAGAGCAAAGTCCTTGTGTATTCATTTGAGTCTACAGATACGATTTGTTCGAGCCTACTTATTTTCATTCATGCTATAAGTCGTTTAGGCTTCGCTATTTAGAACAACATGATAACCTTGTTGTTGAATTCTTTTTACTATCTGAATAGTTAATTGGTCGTTAAGATGATATTGAAGCTTCATTAATATTTCTATTTTATCATCTGACCATGGACAGTCTTATCTATATCGTTCCTATTTATTTTCATATCGTCAAGAGTACAATACTTTTTTTTTATGACTGACAATAGACCGCGTACTTAAGGGTTGCTTTGTTTTCTTTTGCACGAGGCTTTTTTGCTCTACTTTCTTACTTTTTATTTTCATTTCTATTGTGTCATTATTTACAATAACTCGATAATAGTATTAGATTCTGAAAAGAAAAAGATATTTTTACGAACTCTAATAATGTTTATTATCTTTTGGAAAGTCCTCCTTTAACAGTGTAAGTATCGTTTCTTTTTTTTTCAATACTTTCGATTTTTCATAACTAAAATTTAAACATAAGATGATAGTTCTTACTGAAATTTAATAATGCATGCTGTGGTAAAGTGTAAATATTTACATTCATTAGCAATTCGGTGTTTGATCTATTTAGTTGAATATAAGTATAAATGACACGAGAAGTTTTTTTGTTTCATAAATTCAATGTAGAGAAGTAGATACGTATTAATATAAGACTACTATCGGCGCCAGAATTCAAGGCAGTCGGATATTTTTTGAATGACTTTTGATAGGAACAAGACAGAGACCTGCGATTTTCTGTGTTGGATAGCCAAAACCTAGGAGCATATTTTCATGAGCAAAATCATTTCTGAGAAAAAATTCGAAGATTGGTTTTTTAGAGGATTTCTGAAAAACCATGCTGGATTTCTGAAAACTACCATAACAGTCTATTGATTTTTTTACATATTCGGAATCCGCATCAAAAACTGAGTCGAATCACGTATGTTTCGAATCTTTTCACGAACTTTTTTTTTCGTCGAAAAATTCACCCTTGGTCTCCATGAGGGATAGGTCAAAAATGAAGGCAGCGAAAACTCTATTTTTATTGTTTATTCATTGGCCATTTTATGTTCTACTAGCATTTTAGAAGCTCCAAACTCGATTTCCGTTGTCCAAGTGACTTTTTGACTGACTTTATTTTTTGATCTCTTCCTCAGGAGGACCGGGGGTGAATTTTTCGGCGGAAGAAAAAGTTCGTGAAAAGATTCGAAACATGCATGAATCGACTCAGTTTTCGATGCTGATCCCGAATATGTAAAAAAATCAATACACTCCTATGGCAGTTTTCAGGAATCCAGCGTGGTTTTCCAAAGATCCACTGAAAAACCGATCTTCGGGTTTTTTTTTTTCTCAGCAAAGGTTTTGCTCATGAAAATCTGCTCCTGGGTCTTGGCTATCAAATGCTGAAAATCGCAGGTCTCTATCTTGTTCCTATCAAAAGTTATTCAAAAAACATCCGACTGCCTTGAATTCTGGCGCCGATAGTAGTTGATGATCAATTGTATATACTTTTGAATAATATATTTCAGATAATAAATGATTAGAATAGTATAAATACGTGTTAATTGCTTATAATCAAGTTTATATTCTGTGACAAAAAAGTTCATTTCGATGATTAAATGTTCATTAATTAATATTTATTTCTTAGTTACTTGGATATTTCCTGCCGCTTCGGTATTTATTTATTTATTTATACCGGTACAAACAGTTAAAGTTTTTGGTGGAAATATTTCTGATCAATCTACTCGTGATGCAGCTAATTTATGGGTTCGAACAACATCTAATGGTGATATACTTGTATCATTATTAAGTGGTATAGCATTATTCAAACAATCCGATTGGCATTTTCGACAAATAGTCATTCGTGTTTGTTCAATATCGAATTTTGTTCATTTTGGTTGCTTTATATATCACAATCATTTTGTAACACCACATCATATAGGACTTGTCATTCTATATTATTCAGCATTATCTTTAACTATATTAACTGGATTAGGTTGGGGTCTCAATTGGAATACTATACTGAAAAAAGAAACAAAAAAATCTGACCAAATACAATTAACAGTAGAAGCAAATAGTCCATTTAATTCTGTTTAAAAAAACAATTGATAGTGAATTGGATATTATAATACAAGAATTATAATATGTGTTGTTTTTTCTATTGTTGATTTTGTGAAAGACAATGTAAAAGAAGTATTGAAGTAAAGGAGTAAAGATTTCAATGTCCCATCTGCTGGATTGTAACAAACGTTTTTGCTATATTACCAAAGACCGTATAATAATGACGTTTCGTTCTAATATATGAACTACTTCTTTATTGTATTTCTAAAGCATTAAGTTAAAGAACTGTGAAGAAATGTGTCCCAAAATAGATATAATAAAGCAATTTCTCCGTGATAAGTAACAGTAGTTACATCGTGTTTCCCATTTGAATTCCACGGAGATTAAAACAACATCTTTTTACATCGTATGTTAATTGAATTAATAAGAAATAATTTTTAAATAAACTTTGATATTCATAATTCTTAACATGGTAATGAGATTTCTTTTCTTTGTAAGACATAAATCTTCATCTTTTTTTATACTTATAAGAATTTAATTTCATCTAAACTAATACTTGAACATTTTTGCAGGCAATGTTATTTATTAAACGATGATCTATTTGTTGTCAAATGAGATAAAATATGAAAAATCATGTTTAGATTAATAAACAGAATTCTTTTCAATGATTAGTCTTTTTAACTTACACTCCAAGAGAGTCATATTAATCACTAGACTATTTTTTGATTTTATCCATCCTTATTTTCGTAAGAAACTAAACAACATTCATAATTATTCAACTCGTAACAATTTCGATATCTTTTCGTATTTTGACGGATATAATATTTATTTTCTGACATTTTCTTTCAACAAAATAAATTTTCAATAATATCTTCAATTAATATGAAGTATTGAGAATAATAAAAGGAGTATACATATATATTATTGTGCATATGATGAGAATAAAAATTTAGATACAAAAAAAAATAAAAGAAGAATAAGAAAAAAGAGATTCAAGTATTAATTGCAACTGTTGTATTTTCTTCATTATTATCCAATATTTGATATCCATCTATTTGTTGTTGACTATTTTTATAAAGAATATAATGTTGTACTATAAATATAATATCAAATCCAATTGAAACAATTCCAAGACTAAACTTTGATATTGAACTAAATATTGATAACCAATCATTATAATTAATAGCAAATAAAAACATTTGTATTAAACTAAGTATACCACCAAGAAAATCTAATAAAATATTTCCAATAGACCATCCTTCAGTTGATTTACGACGATAATTCAATACAACTTGTGGAATATATTTTATACATGATATTATTAATTTAATATATGAATAAAAATAAATTAATAGAAGTAAATCAATACGATCGACTGATGTTAAAATTGTTGTTATAAATAGAAATAAAATAAATAGAACTAATAATATTGATGTTGTATATGAAACACGTTGTTTCGAATGCTAGATAAAGAATATTTTTTACAATAAAAACAAAAATTTACTAAACTTATTAAATCAATTTGACATACTTCAAAAAAAAGACATTGAAATATAGTAATAAATGATGCAATAAAACCATGTAAACCAAATACAACATCATTAATTAATACAGGAATAACACCATGAGGATGTAATTTCATATAACCATCCTAAGAAATTAAATGTTATTAATAATTAGCAATGACAGAAGGATATCAATAGTAGAGAGATTCTCTTCAGTGCTATTGTTTTTGTTTTTTCATGCAAGATTTCATTTTTCTTGAATGAAGAACAAACTGATCACAAGAAAAGTAATTTATCTTGATATTGTGAGGCACAACTTATCATTATCGAGAAGGATATACAATAAAATTTTTGAATTCGCATGAAATTTATTCATTAATAACCGTTGTTTGAACTCGTATTGAGCTCACCATGAGGTATTTGGCAAGACTAGAAAAACATCTTAAAGGGTAAATATTCAGAAGCCATATTAGGATCATTTTACTGACTTTTCGATTCAGTTTTAGATACATATTAAAAAATAGAGTTTTGATGTAAAATTGCACCCATAAGTAGGTCTAATGATCCATAGAATATGTTCAAAATTTTAGTCAAAAAAAAATATTTTGCTTTTGTCGAGATATCGAATTTCCAAAAAATAATTGTTTGATAAAAATTCATTATCTTAACAAAGAAAAATTTTTCTCGGTTAAAACTTTCAAGATATTCTATGAATCATAAGGCCTACTGATGAGCACAATTTTACATCGAAATTTTTCTTTCTGCCTTTTTTTGGTATATTCACTATGGTGTCTTTGTATACTTAATAAGAGCTCAAACGATAGGTATCAGCAGCGAGTGGTCCTCTCGTTGGAGGTTGTCCGAAAATCAACTGTTCAGTTATTTTGCGCCAGCATATCAGAGAATACGATTTGTTGAGGCTCTTTTCCGTTATCTTCAATATTCATATAATTTCTAAACTTTTCCTAAGACTATTGGGAAAAAAAGTCTTTATATGAATGTCATCAATATTTGTGTTCAATTAACGATTGTAAAGTTTTCTTTACATCATCATATATATCTAAGTAAAGAGTTTTTGTGAAAAACGTTTGAGTGAATATCAACTAAGTAATTTGAGAAAATTCTGTTTTGAAGATATATATGGCGGACTGAAGACTTTTCTTCAGATTCATAGGATGCAATTCATTTGAAATTTTTTTTCCTAAAAAATTTTCATCTAGGTCTATATGAATATACAAACAAAAGTTAAAAATCTTTAATAGAGCAAAATCAATCGTGTTCTTCGTACAGAAAAGTCGTAGATTATGATTTATCTAAACACTGAATAAACATACCTGAACATTTCGCCATGAATAAAATGCAATATTATAAACTGAATAACAAAAAAATCCCATTATGTTGAATGCCAAAAAATCAAAACTAAGTCCAACAACACTTGAAAATCATTTTCAAAAACAAAAAATAACTATATTTCATTTAAAAAATAAATTATTGTCATTTACCTTTGTCGTTGAAAATTTAATAATATTTGTGGATAAAATGAACAAGACCATGCGATAAAAGAAAGCCAACCAATTGTATTAATAATTCGATCAAGTTTTTCACTACGTGCAATATTAATTCGAAGAAAATCTTGTTCTGTTAAACTTGCATTTAATATAGGACTTGCATTACAACCAACAATTAAATGACCTGGACGAAGACCTGTTATTTGTAAAACAATTTGCATATGAGAAGAATGTCGAGGAATATTAATAGGTTCAAGTGGTTTAATATAATCTGTTGATTGTGTTCGATCTTCATCATAAACAAATGAAACATGAACTGATTCATCTTGTTCTGATCTATTGATTTAAAATTTAGTTCGAACAAAAAAATGCAAGTTAAATTTAGACTTACACTAATTGAATTGTAGTTGATGTATTATAACCAACAGCAACAGTTAAACTTGCTGGATCAAATAACAATGCATGATTATTAGCTATTAGTTTGTTACTGCCTATGAATATATATAATAGATATATTTATATTTCATCGTAAACTATCTGACCTGAGAATTGAAAAATAATAATAAGAGAAAAAATTAATAGGAAAAATTCTTCGTTATTAATCGATTTCATTTATTTTTGTGATTTGTTTTGTGCGTGTTTTTCTTTCTTTCTCATAGTAGAGTGTATTTGTCAAAATCTATGACTAAACATTTTGCGAATTAGATTATAGAATAGAGGTCACTAATCAAAATCAAAATTACTTTTTTCCATTGTTGGTTAACAATGATCAATAGAAAATAGTTTATCTTTGTAAATCTATAATAAATGATTTTGTATAGTTTGTTTTTTAAATACTTCACAATCTTTCGACTAGATCTGTATATCAATTGGTAGGACCATATGTCAATGAAAAGAAACACTTAAGATCTTGTTGTGTGTCGACCCTAGAGAATTTAATTTAATGGACTTTTCAGAGACGAATTAAATTTAATGCACCAATCGAAAAAGAACTTGATCCACTAATTAAAATAATGAATGTGCCTCGATAATGTCGCTTTATGCCATCGATAGATAAATATTTTCAATATGACGAACAATAGAATATAAGTGAGTAAGGAATAATACATACAAATAAGTATCACAGCAATATTTAACGAATCTTTAGTTGAAAAAAAAAATTAGAACAATAGATACTTCGTCTTAGTCAGTCAATAGTTATCAAAGAAAGACAGAAATGACATGTTGTTTTATCAATACATGCTAGAATTATGCACTTAAACTGCATAATAGTGACCATGTTTTAGTTTTGATTGATGTATATTAAAGTCATAAGTGTAGATGAGGCCATGGTTGTTAACGAAAAAATAGGAAGATTTATGATTATACACAGATGTGCTTAGATATATGACGGTTAGAAAAATTGTCATAATCGCGGCATATTTTTAGAGGAATAATAAATAATGATTTTGTCCATCTGTAATTTGTTTTATTTTTCTGACAACATAAATTAGATTTCTATGATAAATTGTACTTGTTATGACTAAATACATTTTAATTTAATTTATGTGTATTTTATAGTAGTGTTTCATTATTTAAATTCTGATAGTTAAAATATTAATAAAGCTTTTGAATAAAATTCATTATTTTTTAATAGTTGAAAAATTCTTTCTAGTTAAAACAGAAGAAAATAAAAAAAAGGCTTATATTAGAGCATTGTATAAAAATAGTTCTAATTACTAGTTTTTTCTATTTCAAGTACAACAGTTTCCTTACACAAGACACAATTATTATTTTTTTCTTATTTACGTGACTAATTCCATCGAAGCAATCACGTTGAAAAAAACTTCTTATAGCAAAATCTACTTATTATTATTTTGATTTATTATAATAATTAAAAATTCATGAACATGCAAGGAAATTTATGTTCTCACTTGAAAACTTTTTGATTAAAATAATTCTTTGTTCATCTTGATAAAAACTTTGACTTATATGACAAGCTGTACAAAGATTTTTTTTTCTTTTCCTATTTCCTTTATCCAGTAAAGATTGTTATTCCCTCAATGAGAAAACCGACGTCTGTATTTTTCTTTTTGTATTTCTTATAATATTTATCATTGATAAACCGAACTATTTCAAAGAAAAAGAACATGGAAGAAAAAAAAACAACGATTGGAAGCATAAACGGTCAAACTCTCTTCATTACTAGAACAGAACGCTTACAAATAGAAGCAAAAAAAGAAAAGAGCACGCGAAAAAAGATGAAGACGGCATCCTAAGAGCTACAGAATGAAAGAAAAAAAAAGAATCGAGATGTCGACGATTGAACAAACGAGTAATAATATCTGTCATTGGTCTACTATTGATTTAGAGCGTATATATATATAGCTGTTTATATTTGTCTATCTCTTTTGTCTTTTTTTTTCTTCCTTTTGATCTTATTCTAGATCGTAATGGAGATTTGGCTTCGAGCGGTATGAGAAGACTAACAATATTCATAGACTATTCCGATGCGAACGTCCCTCAAGTGTCTAGTATTCTATTTGATAGTTGGTGTTATCTTACTTAATCTATATTTTATCGGTCAACTATATTTTCATTATGAAAATAATCAAGAAAATAAACAACATCAAAATCTACATCAACATTCAAAAGATTTTTTTCCTTTTATTGACAAACAAGGTGAACTAGTCAATCAACTATCATATAAAATGAATGATCTCAAAAATAATAGTGAATTTCTTGTATTGGATTGGACTGGTCATCAACATATATTTCGAGAACAAGATCCGATTAAATGTAAGTTTCTATTTTCTAACATAAACATCTGTTGCCAGTGCTTTCTACATAACTTTATACTAATGACAATACGGAGTCAGCTGTATTTTTGTAATTGACAATATTTTTTTTTCAACATGAATGAAAGAATTTTTTTTTCTAAATACACCTAAATAATTGAATAAGATGAGGATAAACAAAGGAATCCTTATATGATTGACATTTTATTTTGTTTTGCTTCGTCATAAAACAGTGTAAAATTTTTCGGAATTAAGATTTCTATTTTATTTGTATTTAACATAAGAATAAGATATGATGCGTACATCATCGAATAGATCAATGTCAGTTCTCTTTTTGGTTTAAAACAATATTCATCAATTGTTTACAACATGGACAAACATTTATTTTAAGTATAATATCGTCCATAAGATTGATTCGATTTTTGAAAATTTATTTCTTAAAACTTAAAAATATTACTTCACTAAAACAAAAGCAAAACTTTAAGAATATGATATTGAATTATCACTATTAAATTGATATTTATCCAAATATGTAAAGAATAGTATTTCAGTTTTTCCATTAAACTCTTCATGCTAAAAATATTAAAATTTTCTAGTAATACTCAATTATAAGATATGTTTGAAAATATTATATTTTGTATATCGTTGGTTATTACCGAAGAACAATACTTTTGTTTTTTGTTTATCTCTCATCATCAGATTATAATATCATCTCTCTTTTGATTGTTATTAATATGTCCTATAAATATACCTTTATTATTGATAAGAAAAATCAGTGTGTTAACATCTAATTCGAATGCAGATATCTAAGGTCTTCTTTGCGTCATTCTGTATTTTAAATAGAATGCTCTGTATTCGGAAGTATAATTTTATAACGCTAATATGAATCATTTTTATTGGTTTTGCTATTTCTTTGTCTAAACTAGACTGTCTTAGAAAAATGAGATGGAAATTGATTCGATTTTTGTTAATAATAAACAGATTGTAAACATCTTTTTTTTCGATGTTTTTAAAGAATTATCATTGATATCTACTGATAATCTAGATAATATTTATACCTTCCTAGAAAGAATTAATTTTGAAATATTTTTGTTTCTAATTTCAATGAAATTAACTAATTGATTATCTTTTGTTTATTTTTTTTTTGTGTAAACTTTAGGTGATTTTTCTGATATAACTCGTGAGCAATGTGTATCAAAATTTAAACAATTAACAAATGATGTTCTTCGTTTGCATCTTATTGAACGATGCATACGTTTATTAACATTGACTATACATTGGACAGATAATCAAGCACATTTGAAAGAAGCTGATCTTATATCATATCATTCTATTCATATGCCATCAAATAATTTACCAAAATTAGAACGTAGTGATAAACGACAACAATATTCAACTGTTTATGTACTTGAAAGTGAAGTACATTCATCTGGTGGTCATGATTGGCATGAAATTGATTTTCCCATGTGGTATAATCTAGAACGTTCATATCCTGAACCAGCTACTTATTTCGAAATAAAAATCTATCTTGATAAATTATTTGCACCTGTTCGAGTACCATTTTCAAAAAAAACTACATCAGCACCAATTATATGGATTATATCAAATTGGTAAGAAGAAGAAAAAAAAAGGATTTCTTTTGTTTTATTTAACTATGTATTGAATCTTTGCTTTTTCCAGTAATGCTTATAATGGTCGTCAATCATTGGTTCGACAATTAATGTCATATATTCGTATTGATTCATTCGGTGGTTGTCTTAATAATGCAAAATCTGCTCAGGCACAAACACGTGCACAATCAAATTCCGAATTATATGCATCATATAAATTTGTTATATCAATTGAAAATTCAAATTGTGAAGATTATGTTACAGAAAAATTAATTGATGGATTATCATCAACAGCTGTACCTATTGTTGCTAGTCGTGATGGAAAACCTGATTATACACATTTTGCACCAAATCATTCATATATTAATGTATATGATTATAAAACAGTGAAAGAATTAGCTGATTATTTAAATTATTTATCAAATAATGAAACAGCTTATAATGAATATCTTTGGTTTAGACAACCACCAGCAAATAAATATGCAGTAAAGAAATAAATTGATTATAATAATTAATAGATTAGAATAAGTCAATCGAATAAGGAAGGATGTAGATCATTATTATATAGAATACGGTATATGAAAATAGCAAGAAAAAAGTCATTCTATCTTTGAAAATAAAAAATTTATAAGATGCAAAATTTTCAATCTATTTGAGTTTCTTTTACTTCATACTTGACAAAAATACTCGTAAACTACTTAGAAAAACTTTTTATTCAGTGACAATTTGTTCGTAAACTAGAAGCTCGTATTTATTTTATCAGATAATTCGAATAAGATAGAAAGGTTATTCTATATGACATTTTTCTCTTGAAAAAAGGTCATGAATACAAAGAAATTCTTTTACATAGAATTTTCTCCTCGGTAATAGTCAAATTATATGATTATGAATTATTATGATCGTAATACTTAATTTGAGTGCAGCTAATTGAATCAATCAATACAACATTCTCATGCCCGATAATTTTTGCTATTTGAAAATAATAAGAAAGTTATAAAAATTGGTAGTTTTTTAATGACATCATCTTATATTCTTTATTTTAGGCATCAGGTATTACTGAACGATCATTAAGTGAAAATCTTCGTTTAGCTGATGAAATATTGGGTGTAAATGCTACAATGCGTCAATGGTTATTAGCTAAAGAAGCTAGTATTAATAAATATTGTAAATTGGTAAAATTTATTCATACAACATATTGGAAATTAATTTATAAACGAAAAAAAAGTGACCGACCAACTCCAAATGAAGTTTGCTTACCATCGAATGATATAGCTATGTATTTTTCTAATTCATCATCTGTTGCTATTGCTGCTTAAAAAAAAATAAAAATTTTGCATTCCTCCGAGATAAGTTGTGATTTTTCTCTTTGCTTTGGGCATATTTTTCTTTGAATAATTTTAATCAAATAAAGTAGTTTGATGAAATGCATATATATATATATGTATATATACTTTTTAATAGTGAATTTTTCTTTGTTCTAATGATTAATGATTGAATATCCATAAAATATAATAAAAAATTCTAATAGACAAAGGAAAATAATTCAATTGAAAAAAAATCACTGATATTTATTCGGAAAAAATAATCTTTCTTTTATGTTTGATACAATAGATTGCTTCATTTTCTAAGACATTTTGTTTAAATGATCAGTACAAACAATATGATATCAATAATTTCTATTACATGCTGAATAACATTATCAGACAGTTGAATTAATTGAAAGATGAAAACACCCTTGATCACTATTGAAATCATTATGTTTTGCTGAGATGTATGAAGATTTTTATTAAACTTTTATCTATAGAACGTATATTGGGCAAAGTTGATGAAACAATAGGAGAACTTGTAATCATTCTGTACGAAGAACAGTATATAGCAGGGCTGGAACCAGTCCGGATATCCAGTCGAATAGAACCGGATTACTGCCAATTCATCATTACAAAATTGTTGTTTGCATCCGATATTTTCTCTAATGAAAACGACGCTTTTATGATATTGTCAAGTCGAAAGAATGTGTTTTCAAAAGACTCAATAGATATCTTGTCTTTGATTCGAGTATAAGCGATTGATTATTCTCTTTATATCTATCTATTTCTTTCTTGTGTGTCGTTCAATTCAGCCTAGATCAAATGATTCATTTTCTTGTTCTACTAAGGCAGCTGTCTGAATCAAGAAAAAAAATATTTACATTTTTATGTCAGGTTTGTTATGAATTTGCCTTTTTTTTCTTTCTTTTTTGAAATTAAGATGAAAAAACCATATTCGATCTGAATAACTAATTTATATCGATATCTGACTGGAAAAATTGACGCATCTTCCTATGAAATATGATAGTGTTAGTTTCATTCCTAAATTTTAGTTTTCAATTCAGATTCCTACACGTCAATATTCAATTTCTCTTCACCACCAGTTTATATGATCAGATACTTTAATGATTAGTTATTTTCGCCAGATTTGTCTGTAAAATTCATCCGGCAGGATGCTGATTAGACCTGAAAAGACAGAGTCTTTAGCCGACCGAATCGGACCGGACAGAAAAAACTGTCCGGTTTCAACTTCAATATACAGTTGCCGTCAAAATTATCAAGCTAAAAGATAATTTTATGTTCTTGTTTGTATATCTCAAAGCCTAGATGAATTAGAATTATTTAGTTTTCATCAGATTAAAGTCCATAGTCTCTAGTATACTTTAAAAAAATGTCACGACAATCTTTTGATCTGTTTAATTTTTAATGATGATGCAATCATAGTATGTTGTGTTTTCATTCTTCAATAGTTATTCAACCGGTTGTTTTGCAAATTATTGTGTCTATGCTAAATTGAAATTTTTTTAATAATATATAATTCAAATAAATAACTTCTGCTCTACACAAGAAGCACTTTTTATCGTAGCTTTTCTTTGAATAAAGAATAAGCAAGAATGTTTCTCTGGTCTACATCATATATTTTCAACAACAAAATGAGAAAAGACATTTATTTTTTTTAAATGATGTTTTACCAATTTAATATTCAATATAACATTAGCGAGGGCATTAAAAATTGCATGAAATACTCTGTTTTAATAAATAGTTAATGCTAGAAAATGTATTGACAGTCTCAAAAGTATAAAACAGTCACAGATGACTTTCATGTGCCTACTCACGTATATATTGTAGGAGGTACAAGAAATCGATTTAACAACGTAGATTTGTAGGAAATAGTTTTTTCCGTACAAAAATTTTTTATATGTGTAATCGAAATCGATCATATAACTAAATTTATATATCTTTGTTACATCATAAATAATAGGAGTAAAATGCTTACAATAGTCCCAGCAACTGATTGAATATGTATCTTACCAAACAAAAATACATCAGATGAAACTTAACAAAGCACGATATTCTATTTTTTAGGCTGTATCTACATAGACATAACGTGCAAAAATTACTTATATAGTTAATGAGATCTGCACTAAGACTGTTGCTGAGACTATGGAAACCTTGTGAATCTTACTATTTGTAATGTACTAAAAAAGGTATCTAGCTTGAAAATGATATAATAGCTTTTGATTTCAAATATTAGAGTTTGTAAGGAAAAAAATTTCATAAAAATTGGTGTTGTTAAAACAATTATTTTTACTTCCATTAATGTAGGAATAAGATCGTGTCAGAAAGTCTATATGTGAGTGGTCTATATCGAGGAAACAACCAACACAATTTTCAACTATGAATTAACATATAATATCTCATGTAATTTGTAGTACTCTTGCTAATTTTATATTAAACAATAAATTGGTAAAACATCATATGAAAAACAAATTTCTTTTCTTATTTTGTTGTTGAAAAATTTAAGATATAGACTTAAAAAACACTGTTTCTTAGCATATATTTAAGCAAAAGCTCAATCAAAAATTATTGTTTAAGTAGAGCATAAATTATTCTTGTGTATTACTTATCATGAGAACAAATTTGAACTTAGAATTGACGCATAGTAGTTTGCAAAAACAAGTATTAGGATAACTATTGAAAGATGGAAAAACGACATGTTGTGATTATGTCGTAAATAAAAATTAAGCAGATCAATAGATTTACGTCACATTTTTTACTAGTATGCTAGAGATTATTACCTGTAATCTGATAAAAATTATATCGTTCATATACGCAAAACGGAATAAAATTATGTCTTGGTTCGATAATTTTGACAGTCGCTGTTTGTACTATTTTACTATTTGCGTCACTACCTCATTTGAAATTAGACACAATATGTTGATTTCTCTTGTGATTTACTAACATAGCAAAATTATTACTCTTGAATACTGGCACATATCGGTAGTTTTTACTTGATGAAGTATTTTCTGATTTATTTCATAAATTTCATCTAAAATTTACTGGTAGAAATCGAATAGCGATTGAGCGAGATATATGTTTTGATTTCAGTCTTTCAATTTCATGAATACTTAATAATGAAATATTATACAATGGTTGTCCGATCTTCTAGTAAAAAGGAAACAAGTAAACACAATTCCTGTGGGATTAAAATGTGCAAAACGATGAACCTGAATGCATAGCAAATGGAGGAATTCAACAAAAAATACTTTCATTTGCGATTTTCAATGTGCTGATACGTTTGTAATGAAAGATATTATTCGTAATAAGTTACAATCTTTCATTATAAGTATTCCACAGAAGACTTTAATTTTGTAGTTAAGTCCACCACAGGTTATAATAGACAAGAATCCTACAAATGTCTATCTTTCATATTTCAACATTCGTTTTAAATCTTGTTTTACATAAGAATATTTATTTATAGATCTTAAATATATTTTACATAAAATTCACATATCTAAAATCTTTCATGATAATTCTGTCATATGTGAAAGAAGATGATCGAGAAAAAAAAAAGAATTAGATTGATAAATTGTAGCTTATGTTCGTTTTTTTCTATATGACTAATGATATTTTAATTATTGATGAATATTCCGTTAGTTTACCAGTTATTACTGCTTTACGTGACTCAACAAAATACTTCTGAATCAGATCCTCTGGCCAGTCCATTTTTATATTATTTCAAGTGCGTATATTCAATACGGATAGTCATTCACTGCATCATTTAATAAATTTTATCAGACGTAATTTAAAACGACAGTGTAATATGAAAGAGGTTGTCAAAATCATGCGTGACGCAAGAAACTTCTTAATTATTTATAATACATGACCATAAAATGATGTACTTATAAAATGTCATGCTCAGATCACATTATAATGCCATTCAATAGATTTGAATAAGGTAAGGTTGAGTATATTTTACAACTATTGTAACGTCTTGGTCAGATCAAGTTCAACAACTATTGATTTTTATAATATTTTAAATATACAATCTATTTTTTAACAAACTATTTATCAGAAATACATTTTTTTGTCTTAGAATGTAAAGAATAAAAGAACATTATTTGATTATCATAGTAGATTTTCCAACTAATAAAATTTTGTTTAGAAATTATCAAATAATTGATCGAGAAACTAATCAATTTCTTACGTCTTCTATTATTCACTTTCTGAATAATGCAGTAAACTTTTCAATTAATCTTTTAAATCTTGAAGATGATAGTGTGCAAAGAGTTTTTTCTTATTTGTTTTCGTTGGTTTAAAAATCAAGATTCCGCGTATTGATGTTTTACGTTTAGAGTATCATTATTTTTCTAATCATATCAACTGTTACTGTTTTCAAATCGTTGTTGACAATCGTTAGTTCATCTTTGCTCAGAAGCTTTATTTATAGAAAATTTTTGTTTTGAAGTCACATACATTTTCGAAGAAAATAATGAATGTAAGTTTTAAGTTGAAGTTTTTCGGGCTCCTATTATAGGCCTTAGCAATCAGAATTAAAGGTACTGGGTGACGTTAATAACAAGATGTAGAGGATCTAGAACATTCCAGAACCTTCTTTGAGATTTCAATCACCAGAATACGTTTTTTGCAATATTGTAAATGATAAAATTTCCAATTTTTCCATAGATAAACGATTATGTGAGAAATATCAAATATGATGCTTTGATTTACGCAAATGTCATATGTAGAGCCCTTCATGGCGTCTTTAAAAAATTTCCGGATCTGATCAAAGAAATATCAGTCGTTCTATCTTCTTTCATCTTAATATATTCATCAAACGTGTATCTTGTTGGGAAATGCTTTCACTTTCACCTCATATATTTAGAGAAGCACTACAATATTTAATAGTCGAAATATTTTAATAAAAAACATTTGGGTTCACATTCTCGAAGTTCGACCAAGTCCAAATGTGGATCCAGACTTTTTTTTATTAAAACATTTTAACTATA